CCAGTGGACCTAAGTAAAAATGCAATATGCAGCCTGGCTCCTCTGGCACACCAGATGGATTACAACCTTTAAAAGGAACACATACAAAAGTAGGAGAAAATACAAGTAAATATTTCACTGATCTCAGATTAGGGAAAAACTTCCTAGGCTCCAGAGCAACGGGAATAAATCAGAAAGGGTAATTCTGATAGATTTTTACTACATGAAGAGCTCTATTCACCAAAGCATCATATACAAAATTAAAAGGAAAAAACCAAGTGGGGAAAATATTGACTACGAATGTGAACAGTCGCTACAGACTCAATACGGAAGGAACTCTTAGAAATCAGCAGTCTGTCACAGTGATCTAACATTCCCTTCTTGTTCTCAGTGCTGAGTCCGAGGTAAGGCCAGCTACTTTTTAGCCTTTCGTTCTACACAGCTTCCTAATTGGCCTTCCTGCCTCCAGTCTCCCCTCTCCAAACCATCCCTTCACACTGTCACCAGAGGGATCTTTCTAGTATACCTCCCGACCACCAAGATGAGAGAAGAGACACTCCTCAGCTTGGCTCTGACAACCCTGCTTCTCGCCATCGCGGCCTCTTCCCTCTTGGGCAGGCCACCTTGCGGGCCTGGGGGCTAACCTGGCCCCCCAATCATGTCGGCCTTTCTCTCTACTACATACGGCCTGACTCTCTTCTCTGCAGGGTCCTTCCTCACTGCCACGCCTCCTTATCCTCAGGTTCACTGGCCTCCTTCTTCGCCCCCTCCTTGATGCAGGGGGTACACCATTACCAGCATGTGCCACGTTATAATTTTCATATATAAATTAAAATGTACATTAATTTGAATTTATATATTGAAATTATACTTAGTTGTGGTGATGTCTGTTCCTGGCCCCCACCCACCTCTTCTAGTGAAGGAACACCTCTATTCAATTTTATATTCCTAGGATGGCACACAGTAGGTAATCAATGAATGTTGTTAAATAGGAGAATGTGTAACTAGACTGAAGGAATTATATAACTTAGAGTGGGGAAATGAACTGTAGAACTTTTTAACTTTCAAGCACACAGGCAAATTAATTGCACACACTTCTAAGCAGCAATTTTCTAACGCCTGTTGTAATGAATGAAGACTATTTGCAAACTAATGTTTTCCTTAAAAAGTTTGTTTTCACTTGAGTAGAGTATGCATCCTCCACCTGTCAGTTGGTCAGACTGTGGGGACTTGGCGTGTTGCTATGCCACCGGTATTCAAATACCAGCAGGGTCACCCATGGTGGACAGGTTTCAGCTGAGCTTCCAGACTAAGACAGACTAGGAAGAAGGACCTGGAGGTCTAGTTTCGAAAAAAATTAGCCAGTGAAAACCTTATGAATAGCAGTGGAACATTGTCTGATATAGTGCCGGCAGATGAGCCCCTCAGGTTGGAAGGCGCCCAAAAGACAACTGGAGAGGAACTGCCTCCTCAAAGTAGAGTTGACATTAATGATGTGGATGGAGTCATTTGCTGATGTGGCATGACTCAAAATGGGAAGAAACAGCTGCAAACATCCATTAATAATTGGAATGTGGAATGTATGGAGTATGAATCTAGAAAAATTGGAAATCGTCAAAAATGAAATGGAACACAAACAATATCCTAGGCATTAGTGAGCTGAAATGGACTGGTATTGGCCATTTTGAATTGGACAATCATATGGTCTACTATGCCAGGAATGACAAATTAAAGAGGCATGGCATTGCATTCATCGTCAAAAAGAACATTTCGAGATCTATCCTGAAGTACAACGCTGTCAGTGATAGTGTAATATTCATTCATCTACAAGGAAGATGAGTTAACACGACTATTATTCAAATTTATGCACTAACCACTAGGGCCAAAGATGAAGAAATTGAAGATTTTTACCAACTTTTGCAGTCTAAAATTGATAGAACATGCAATCAGGATGCATTGATAATTACTGGTGATTGGAATGCGAAAGTTAGAAACAAAGAAGGATTGGTAGTTGAAAAATATGGCCTTGGTGTTAGAAACCATGCGGGAGATTGCATGACAGAATTTTCTAAGACCAATGACTTCTTCATTGCAAATACCTTTTTTCACCACCATAATCAGTGACTGTACACGTGGACCTTGTCAGATGGAATACGCAGGAATCAAATCAACTACGGCTATGGAAAGAGACAATGGAAAAGCTCAATGTCATCAGTCAGAACAAGGCTAGGGGCCAACTGCGGAACAGACTAGCAATTGCTCATATGCAAGTTCAAGCTGAAACTGAAGAAAATTAGAATGTGTCCACAAGCGCCAAAGTACGACATTGAGCATATCCCACCCGAATTTAGAGACCATCTTAAGAATACATTTGACAGGCTGAACACTAATGACCGAAGACCAGACGAATTGTGGAATGACATCAAGGATACTATACATGAAGAAAGCTAGAGGTCATTAAAAAGACAAAAAAGAAAGAAAAGACCAAAATAGATGTCAGAAGAGACTCTAAAACTTGCTCTTGAACATCGAGTAGCTAAAGCAAAAGGAAGAAATGATGAAGTAAAAGAGCTGAACAGAAGTTTCAAAGGGCTACTTGAGAAGACAAAGTATTACAATGACATGCTCAAAGGCCTGAAGAGAGAAAACCAAAAGGGAAGAACACACTTGGCATTTCTCGAGCTGAAATAACTGAAGAAAAAAATCCAAGCCTTGACTTGCAATGTTGAAGGATTCTATGGGGAAAATATTAAACGATGCAGGACACATCCAAAGACGATGGAAAGAATACACAGAGTCACTGTACCAAAAAGAACTGGTTGATGTTCAACCATTTCGGGAGGCAGCGTATGAGCAGGAACCTATGGTACTGAAGGAGGAAGTCCAAGCTGCACTGAAGGCACTGGTGAAAAAAAGGCTCCGGGAATTGACGGAATACCAATTGAGATGTTTCAACAAATGAATGCAGCGCTGGAAGGGCTCACTCGTCTACACCAAGAAATTTGGAAGACAACTACCTGGCCAACTGACTGGAAGAAATCCATTATTTATGCCCATTCCCAGGGTGATCCAACAGAATACAGAAATTATCAAACAATATCATTAATCTCATAGGCAAGTAAAATTTTGCTGAAGATCGTTCAAAAGCTGCTGTAGCAGTATATTGACAGGGAACTGCCAGAAACTCAAGCCAGATTCAGAAGAGGACTTGGAACCAGGGATATCATTGCTGATGTCGAAAGCAGAGAATGCCAGAAAGATGTTTACCTGTGTTTTACTGACTATGCAAAGGCACTGGACTGTGTGGATCATAACAAATTATGGATAACAGTGAGAAGAATGGGAATTCCAGAACACTTAACTGTGCTCTTAAGGAATCCTTACACAGATCAAGAGGCAGTCGTTCGAAGAGAACAAGGGGATACTGTGTGGCTTAAAGTCAGGAAAGGTGTGCGTCAGGGTTATATCCTTTCATCATACATATTCAGTCTGTATGCTCAGCAAATAATCTGAGAAACTGGACTACAGGAAGAAGAATGGGGCACGGGGTTGGAGGAAGACTCATTAACAACCTGTGTTATGCAGAAGACACAACCATGCTTGCTGAAAGTGAAGAGGACTTGAAGTACTTACTGATGAAGATCAAAGACCAACAGCTTTCAGTATGGATTACACCTCAACATAAAGAAAACAAAAATCCTCACAACTGGACCAATAAGCAACATCATGATAAACGGAGAGAAGACTGAAGTTGTCAACGATTCATTTTACTTGGATCCACAGTCAACACCCATGGAAGCAGCAGTCAAGAAATCAAAAGACATTTTGCATTGGGCAAATTTGCTCCAAAAGATCTCTTTAAAGTGTTGAAAAGCAAAGATGTCACCTTGAAGACTAAGGTGCACCTGACCCAAGCCATGGTGTTTTCAATTGCCTCATGTGCATGCAAAAGCGGGACGATTCATAAGGAAGACGCAAGAAGAATTTATGCCTTTGAATCGTGGTGCTGGTGAAGAATATTGAATATACCATGGACTGACAGAAGAACAAACAAATTTGTTTTGGAAGAAGTACAACCAGAACACGCCTAAGAAGCAAGGATGGTGAGACTACGTCTCACATACTGTGGACATGTTATCAGGAGAGATCAGTCACTGGAAGAAGGACATCATGCTTGGTAGAGGGTCAGCAAAAAAGAGGAAGACCCTCAACGAGATGGACTGACATAGTGGCTGCAACAATAGGTTCAAGCATAAGAACAATTGTGAGGATGGTGCAGGACTGGGCGGTGTTCAGTTCTGCTGTACAAAGGGGGTCACTATGAGTCAGAACCGACTCGACGACATCTAACAACAGCAACAGAGTATGCATGCTTTTTAAAATTTCTTTCACATTATGATTTTCTCTAGCAAAAAATTATGCTCACAAGTCACAAGAATTAATACACATTCTGAATTAGCAAAGAACAAATTAAAGAAATTTTGATGGTATTGCTACCACTGCTGTTTACTACTTAGTGGAAACATGTCGAGTAAAATAAACAAACATTCCTTTCCCAAATGGAGAAATTCGCTGACGCCTACTGCTGCTTTCTTCTACTGAGCTGTCTCTCCCATGTCGGTACCCCACCAGTCTTAACACTAGTACTCGAAACCCTTTCTACTTAAATGACTCATAGCAAGAAATGCTGCAGTTCTATTCACAGGTGTCACGGTACCATCACTGGCCACTTGCTTAGTATCTGAGCTGTGGCTGGTACTGTGCCACTTTCTGAAGGAGTCACTATTTCTGCCCTGAAGACGGCAGTTGGTTGCGGAAATAAGGTGCAAACGCGCATAAAATGATCAAAAAACAATTCAAGCTAACATTCAGTTATCAGTGTCAAATTCTGTGGAACAGCAGTTGCGTGCCATAGGGATTGCCAGGGGGTCAGGGAAGCGAGTGATTTGAGCTTAGAAGGGTGGGGAGGGCTCGGGCTACTGGAAAGAAAGGTGAAGGCACCTGGCTGGTAAACATCCTACCTGAGATTTTCTCCATCTCTTCCAGGAGCTTTTCCAAGTCCTTATTCAGGTCTGACAGCATTTTCAACATGTTGTCATAGTTTCTGTCCCCAGGGTCAGCATCAGCCATCTGGCAGTGCACGCAAAGAAGCTTCAATGAGATAGATCTGAGTTTCAATTCTGGAGCAACCATGCACAGCTGTGGTTCCTCCAATACATTTTTTCCCCTCTCTCTTAAAGTTTGGACAATACCACTCACCCCATAGCGGTGCTGTGGGGCTAATACAACCGTGTGCGTGAGTGTATGCCTGCACGTGTGTGTACGTATGTATATGCATGTGTACTTGTCTTTGCACACATGTATACATGCATGTGTGCACGTATGCATGTGTGCGTATGTTTGTGTATGTGTATAAGCGTGTATGTACGTGCATGTGTATATATACATATTTGTGTATATGTACGCGTGTGTTTGTGTACGTGTATGAGTGTATGTGTATTTGTGTACATGTGTGTACTGTGTGTGTATATGTTTGTGTATGTGTACACGTGTATGTATATGTGCGTGTATTTGTATACATGTGTGTAGTGTGTGTGTGTGTGTGTGTGTGTGTGTGTGTACGTGCAAAGGGTCCAGCACAGAATCTGGCCCACAGTAGTGGCCCCTTCCCTCTCCACTCCCCTTGAGTACAAACATGTCTTCAAACACCACCGAAGGATGGGACGATGAAAGTGGAAGCCATTTTCATTGGTCACAAAGGAAAAAGTCTTCGCCGTGAATGGTGATATACAGTGGAATTCACTGTGGCAAAAATGTATTGCATCCCCACTAAATGCAGCTGCTGTGCTGACACTTCATGAAAAGACACGGTCCCTGTCCTCAAGGAATGTACGGTGTATGATGGGAGTAAGCCACACACACTCCCATATGACAAGCCAGGGTATGACAAATGCCACAGTGGACACATAAATAGTTATAACAAATACAAATGCGAACCTATGGGAGCCTGGAGGAGGGTAAGTTTAATTTTAAAATATGAAACGAGTCACAAATTTGCTGATTTAAAAAAAAAAAATTTAGGGAGCCTGTGCAGGGTTATTTATTTATTTTTTTAATTATTATCAACTTAAGCAACTTTACAGGACTCTCTTGGACCCCAGAGGTGGCACTGTAGCCCAAGGCAGAAACCTGAAGTTGCCTTTAATTCCTCCCTCTCTCTTTTCTGCCAGACCCAATGGATCACTAAGATGCATCACTTTTATTTGTTCATGGAATAAATATCCAATTACCTATGGGTCAGGAAGGCCTGGCACATGGAGACAGTGTGAACTGAATCTTTCCTCGTGGAGCTCACAGCCTGTCCCAGCTCCTCAAAGTCCCTGTCAGTGCTCCATTTTAATCGAGGTCCACTCCTCCACCCACCATTAAGCACGGGCTTGCTGACTGAGCACCCACTGTGTGCCACGGATCCACGGGTGCTGCAGGCAACCAGCCAAACCTGAGCTTCCGTTCCAGTGGGGAGAGACAGATAATACACAAGTAAACACATAAAGAAGGTACTTTCAGTTTGTAGTAATTTTTCTACAGAGGTAATAAAACAGGCTGCTATAGTAAAGAGGCTCTTACATAGGGAAGAGGCACTTTATGTTGGGAAGTCAGAGAAGTCCTCTCCAAGAAGTGACATTTGAGCTGACACCTGACACTTGAGCTGGCCACTTGAGGGTCTGGAGAAGAGCCCCAGGCAGGCAGGCTGATGGCTCAAGCATAGACCCTAAGGTGGGAGTGGCCCTGGTGTGTTTTGAGGAACTGAAAGAAAGTGGGGTTGAGGAGAAGAGAGGTGTGAGATGAGGTCAGCTACATAGGCAAGGGCTCTGGTTTTATTTTGAGTGTGAGGGAAAGCCACTGGAGGCTGAAAGCAGGGGAATTATGCCATTTAATTTTTGTTTTAAGACGACAATCTTGGCTGCTGTCTGGACATGGACTGCTGCAGAAGGTTGAGGGGAGACGAGTCGGAAGGCCAGTTAGTCAGGAGACCAGTCAGTGGTGAAAGCTGATGGTGGCTTGGACTAGGGTGTTAATGATCGAAGTGGTGAGATGCAGAGGGATTTAGGATATATTTTGAAAGATGAGCCAATAGAACTTGGTAGAGGACTTGATGTGTATGGGCTTACAGGGGCAAGTAATGGAAAGAAAGAAATTAAAGATGACTTCTAATTTTGGGGAAGGTGCCCTGGTGGCATGGTGGTTAAAGTTATCAGCCACTAAATCAAAGGTCAGTGCTTCGACCCACCAGCCACTCCACAGGAGAAAAGACCTGGCTATCTGTTCCTGTAAAGATCACAGCCTAGGAAATCCTACGGTGCAGTTCTGCTCTATCCTATAGGGCTGCTATGAGTCAGAATTGACTTGACGGCACACAACAACAGTTTTGGTGAGAGCAACTTGTTGGGTGCTGGTGCTATTAACTGAAATGGGGAAGACTGGGAGAGGGGCAGAATTAGAAGAAAAACTGAGGGCTCTGTTTTGAACACGTTTATATGACATGACTAATAGGCCTCCAGCCCATGTCTGTCAGTGTATCATACTGTGGTGGCTTGCATGTTACTGTGATGGTGGAAGCTATGCCACCGGTATTTTAAATGCCAGCACAGTCACCCATGGTAGACGGGTTTCAGCTGAGCTTCCAGACTAAGACAGACTAGGAAGAAGGATCTGGCAGTCTACTTCCCAAAAAATTAGCCAGTGAAAACCTTGTAAACAGCAGAGGAACACTGTCTGACATAGTGCTGGAAGACG